GTTGAACCATTCTGGGAAATACTAACCTGACTTCCAAGTGATCCATTTCACTGCTAAAAAGGAACCTTGGCGAGCATAAGAAAATTGATTTCAATTCAGCAGAAAGTTTTCAAAGTCAATTTCTATAAAACAAATCATTTTTTCGCCATTGGCCTCTTGGTAAAGCTGTGAACTAGTTACCAAACATGGGAAAATACTAGAAAAATGCTCTCAAGAGACTTTCTTTCAATGCTTTCTGACTCCCCAAATGGTTCAAAAAGCAAAATTGAAAGAGGTTTCAACTTTGCTTGGACAAAATAAGATGAAGGGTTACTTTACCAAGCCTAGTTGCTATGATCCGGGGTTCTTGTGCATGTCCACGCCTGCAAGAAATGGTTACCTCACCTTATGAACATGCAATTCTTGAATTCCCCGGCCTCTAATTGGGATGACCCATCTCCTGCTGTACCGTTTCGACCGACAATCCCTTTGTCCAACATTGGATAAATCCTGCAAAGTCAAGCAAAATGAATCAGGCATTGAGAAATTTGAAAAAGTAAAAAGTACACTCAATGGCGTGATGGATGAATTGGTTTAGACAAACAGGGTCTTTTGGTGATAACTTACCTTGTACCAAATGTCCAGCTTCTTTGCCTCCACTGATTCAGGTTACTCGTCAAAGTAGAATGTGGTCCCTGTAGAAACGAGAAGTATTCATTAACTTTAACAGACATTAATGAGAAAGTAAGAAACTTATATACCCGCTTAGGAAATCAAGGACGTAATGATTAAAGCAAACATAGGGTACATTTCAGTGCTTAGAGTGCATGTTGATATTGACAAGGAACAAAAATATCTAAATAGACACAAAATTTTAGAAATATTTACAGCTCAATATCGTCAGAATCTATTGCCAGATTCTCGTGACATCTTTGGGAGAAAATATTTCGCACTTCAAATGGACCTTAAAGGGAATTCTTTCTTTGGTAGACATATTGTATGAATTGAAACCAGATTGGGAAAAAATCTGACAAAACTGTAATTGGATTTGTTTAAATTCTGGTATTGTATCTCATTCGTCATCAAATACGATATTGACCGCTTGACCTTAGAAGACGATGTTAAATGGATCACCTCATATCAGAAGGCTCACTTTCCTGTACCACAAGAAAATTCAGCCGTAAATATTTGTTGTACAACACCTCTACCACAGATTCTGATTGATTGAAGCGGTGACTGATTATTTTATATTTTAAATGTAGGTCTAATTTCAATAAGAAATCAGTGGAGAATTTACCAGCACTTATTCAAACAACCCCTAATTTGAAATAGGCCTAGCTCACATGCAACCCGAGTGTACAAAATGTGCGACACACGAGTATGCATTTTGTTCATAACACCAGCGGTCACGCAGCCAGTTCTTTGGTCGCTACAGGTATAGCGATTTGGTTGCTATGGGTACAGTCTGTAGACACTCCAAACTATAGAATCTGTGGGTAGAGTGCTACAAAAGGCGGAGTATCAATGGGTAATACTCACTTCCATGGATTGCTTGAAGTTGAACGAGAATAGCTTCAGCAGGATCAATTCCAGACACAAGCTGATTTCTTTCCAGTGCATCATTCAGAATTCCCTCGATCTCTTCCTCACCGACATTGTTCTTTGTTTTGTCCAAGACAGCTATCTTTATTCAAACACTGTCTTGTGTCATGTCCACAAATTCCTCCTTTTCAATTCTCAAAGTCACAGTCAAGGCTCACAGTCCACTGCGGCAGATAATCTTGCTTTTCTTGTTTGTTGAAAACTATGTATTTATTTTATCCAAGGAACCTCGACAAACTGATTCAAGGTCGGTCTTCAAAGACACTTTACCCCAGAAAACTACCCAGTTGTGGCATTCGCAGTGATTTTTAACCCAAAAATAAAATTTGATTTAGGACAAGTTCAACAAACGCGCTGTTGATTTTTTTTAACACAAATGAGCACATTTTGCGTAGTGATGTACAAAAACTGCGTGCATGTTTTTAAGTCTTTGCAGCATTTTGACGGATCATTTTTCTCATTTCAATTAGGAAATGGGTCACTGGCAAATGATTTAATGGGTAATGCCTTGTGGTTACTTGTTTGTTAATGGTTGGGGGTTACTTGAGGCTTAAAATGTTAATGGAATCGTTAGTTTCTGTTAATGGTTAGTGGTTGGTTGAAGTTAACATGATAAATGATTATGGTTAATGGGGTTGTAATTTACTACACGTATTGATAGTTTGGGATTGGTTGAGGTTAATACGCCGGATTATGGAAGGTGATTGATGGGATTATTTTCATGGCTATGAGAAAATGACCTCAAAATACTATTTACTGACATGACCCTCAACTGATGCATAGCCATTCAGTATATCAGAAAGAACAGAATTGGCTTGTATTTTAGAAATAAGCCAATATCACGTTCAATTCGTTCAATGTGGCAGGCTAACGTTGGATTATGGCAAGTGCAACGATCTTGTCTGATTGTAGGGTCCATTGTCTCACTTCCAGTTCAAATGGTAGAATCTTGTTGCATTGAGTTTAATTATGCAGGCCTCTTCACTGCAACATTCTTCATGCGAGCTCTGTGTGGACTCTTTGTGGGCTCTTGGCGGGCTCTGTGTGGGCTCTTTGTGGGAGTGTTGCTTCCAGCCTCCCTCGCCGATTGAAATCAAGGTGCACAGGAATCATCTGTAAATTGACAAAATAAAAATTTAAATCATTCCCCCAATCCTTGGTAGCTCTGGGACAGGACTTTACACTCCATCTCAAGTTTATCTTCAAAGTCAACAGTTTCATAAATTTGAGAATTGGAGATGCTACATCTACTGCTCAATCCTTACTTCTAGGACTCTGCAAGTATTTATTTGCCAGAAGGATGAACTTTCAATCCTTCTTACAAAATATTCCACAAAATGGCCCCACAACCCTCTGTATAAAAAGAAATGCACACGTAATCTGGGAAGTATGACCTTGGACCAGTAGTGAGGCTGTTTTTGCACTTGTACTTGCACCACAACTGGTGACAAACAGACAACGAACCGTGACTATGCGAATTTCACAGAAAGGAATATGTATCTGGTTGTATGTATTTGCGTCCGTGATGGTGTACTTGCCAGTTCTCTAATTTCGCTACCTACTGTGTAGTCCGAGTGGTTTTCTGATTGGCGGGGGAGTCCACATAAGGACGCCACTTGACAACCTGTGCACAAACCCTATGGAAATGTTCAGAAAATTCCTGTGTTTTCTAAGTAAAAGGCTTGATTTTTTCCCCTTCCAAATTGAATTGTTCTGTTTGTTGTGTTTGCTTTCTGATGGCTAATAGGTCATTGCAGGGAATAATTACTGGGAGCATGGCAGCACGCTCCTTGCCACACTCCCGGGAATAATTCGGTTTGCACACACATTTATTTCAACATCGCCCTACAAAGACAAGAATGCACGTATTTAGAATCAGAATGCATTGAAACAATTAAATTATCACACATTATTTGGTCAAGCTGAACGTTTGTGACGCTTATAGGGGAAGAGTTCCAAGTACAGACATCTTTACTCCCTAAAGTGACCTTTTAGCCTTCATAAACCAAAGCATGTCCAGAAATTCTCAATTTAGAAGGAAGAAAAAAATGTCGTGTCCTTAATGAAGAAAACACGTAGAATTTTTCAGACCAACCTCATAGGGTTTTGGTCATAGGAGGTCAAGTTGTGTCCGTATTTCTAACTCGAGCTCTCCTTTACAGGGGTATTTGTCTTTGTCAGTCTGAAGCAATCAATAAAACATCAGACATGTTAAAGGAAAGCATCCAATTTCAAATCAGAATGTAAGGTCATATACTTCCCAAATTTTCTTTGCTTCCTTGGCAAGTCTTCCTATTACCCAAAGGGTTAAAAAGCCATTTTGTGGACTTTGGAAGAAAACGTGGAATTTCAAGAATTCAGTACCCGGCCACCACTTGATGACAACTCTGCCATAAACGTCAGAGGACTGGTCTGAAAATTCTAAATGCTTTCAAAGTCAATGGTATAATATTTTCACTGCTAAATTTGACTACTTAGACATGTTCTCAGTTTCTAAATGTCTACTAAACAGCTGCAAGGGAAAATAATTGATTTCCCTATATTATGGAACTTGAGCCCCGAACATGGCCTACCAAGTGTACCACGATGAAGTAAACAAGTCACTGTCGAAATTGAATTTTGTGCTAAACTCGCCTGTGTTCCATTTTTAATTAGTTCAGTTTACTCTTTAAACTGTAAACTATGCCAATTCTACTTATTGAAGGTCAAAAACAGTTGATTTCGACTCAAAAATGGCATACTTACTTTGACTGTTAAACCGACGCTCCTTCCAAGATGCCCGCGAATTTATGAATGCGCGTCACCCCACGTGAGAATTTCATTGTTATGCAGTTACACTGGTTCCCTTCCGCATTCACTCTTTGAA